TTCAAAGTTTGGTGCAAAAACGCATGATCGCACCGGCTCGCCTGGTGCGTTCCAGCCTGGGTTTGATTGATGGTAAAGAACAAAACTCATAGGGAAAAAATGCCACCTTTTCTAATGTTAAGCAAATAAGTGAAAATTCAGTCAGAGGCAAGAAAAAAAAATCCAGCTTGGCTCCTTCTTCGCCAGTTGATTCTCATAGTAAGTTTCCGCAAGTTCAGCAGTTTGCAAACGTAGAGGTTAAAAATGATTGGATACGAAAAATATGCATAACGGAATGTAGTCATTTAAAAAATGTACCCTTGCTTGTCCCTTGTAGTAATGGAATGTAATGTGAGCAATGAAATCGACAGAGAAGCCAATGGCCATAAGTATGGTAGCCATTGAGATGGGATCCAAATCGATGTCCCAGTAGGTAAGAGATCCAAGAACTCCCAGATTGATGGATAGGATGGAGAGCGTTGATGAGAGGATCGTTGTTAGGCAAGGCGTGAAAACCATCAGCACAATAGCCATCGCAACAAATGCAAATATTACTGTCGATTTTGTCACCGGAACAATCGTAAGAAGCTAAATAAAAGATTTTAGCCCAAATTAAGAAACATGTATTATTGCTGGAGAAGCAAAAAAAAAAACAGAGAGTATCACCGGTAACGTTGGTTTGCACTAACCGCTTCTTTTCTTATAGTTGTTCTAACAATTGTGCCATATTAGTGGCTATGACAGTGATACAGCAACAGCACCTTTTGTGGATTCGGTGCAAAAAAGCATCGTTTTCTTATTCGAGGAGGGCTAATTATCCAAATAAGTAAGGTTGGAGGTATCGGTCGATTCTAAATTTTCGGACTTTATTGAGGTGAGAGCGCACTACTGCAGAACTGTGATGGCAGATTCATTTTGACAGTTTTTTTAACAAAAATGACAAAAAGGCTTATGAAGCAAAGTCTTTGATAAATACCTGGTCAGCGTACATACTGAACGGCTCGTAAATAGTAACATTCAATCGAGGATATTTTGCGGCAATGTTGCGCCACTCCTGGAGCAGGTTCAAGCGCTCCGACCACTTCACTGCGTTTTGAAAACCCGTCGAGAAAAAGAATTTTTGTACACACGTTGGCTTTTCGTTTGTACAGTCACTACAAACACACATTTTTATGAAAAAGAGTAATAAGAATGAAAAATCTTTGTGGAAAACAGAGAATTAGAAGGGCACG